ATGAATTAGAACAAGTTTAAACTGACTCAAAAATTTCTTGACCAATTTTAAAAAGCTACAGATAAAATGATGTCGGGGTAATAACACAGTTAAATTTTTTCCATGCAAAAATGTGGCATACGGTGTCTGTTTTAATTTTTAGCAAAATTTTCAATGATCCATAATTAGAGTATTATCTTTATGATATGTTCAATTCTTTCAAAGAGATTAGATTTGAAAAGAATAAAATAGTTCGTGTTTTCTAGTTCCTTCAGAATACTCAACTCAAATTTTTTGTTTCAGCTGATTTTTGTATAGGCCATCAAAAAGTGTACTCTCGAATGATAAATCGAACGATATTTATAGGATAACTATTGAATTATTTTTGGATCGACTTTCTCTAATTATTAATCAGGTGAATTTTGCTAAATCATTTCTTGTCAAATCTTTAAGAACTCCATTTTGTTTCACATCTGTCGTCAATGTTTCATCAATACATAGAAACATTTGAAAAAGGAATATCTTTTAAAATTGAAATAATTCGGCTTTTCTCTAGTTTTAAAAAGATCTGCTCGAGTTTAAATCTGTCATCCAACAACGTTGAATAACTATGAATGTAGTTTCATTAGTATAATTTTGACTTATTCAAAATTAAGAATCTTGATCATTGAAGTCTGTCTTAGTCAATATCATCGATGATGTTTAATTTTTCATAATTTTATTATTAAAATCAAGCATAAAAAACATCAAACTATACGATTACGCCAAAATAAGTTTGAACGGCTCGCCTTCAATCATTAATATTATCCGAAATCCTTGTCCTATCCAGATTAGTGATCAATATTCATTGTTCGACTTCGTCGAAATATGCTTGTTAATATAATTGTTGTTTGTTTCAATATTTCATCGTATTAATCTCTTTAGTAGATGTTTTTTCTTTTAGTAGATCAAAAAAGATAAATATCAGTGAAACTTTAAGAATTTTATTTCTATAATTTATAGAATTTAACAAAAAACAGATAATTCTATTTTATTCTCGTTAGATTGATTATGCTATAATTTTTTTTGACAAGAATATTTTCTATATTATTTTGTTAAAATTGAGCATTGATTGAACGATAATAAAGATTTTTCATGAATGTTTTTTTAAATTATTCATCCTTTTAAAAAATGTAATAATATCTTAAAAATAAAACTCATTCTATGAGAAAAATAAGTATTTTTAAACGCTCAAAATTATTGAGTTTTTTATAAGATTGTAACATTTTATAAATTCGATTCTATCATTGCTAAAAAACAAACGAAATTTGTTAAGTGTTGGAGAAAAACTTTTCGAAATAATTTCTTGAATATTTTAAATCAAACTTCAAATTTTTTTATCGTCAATATTTTTTAACGAATAAAGGAAATTTCTTCTAATACAGGAATAAGAATTTCGATAAATAATTTTATATGATGTAAATTTTAGTAATTGTGTAAGAAGTGGAAAAAGCAGAAGAAATAATATTGTGCTTATTTCTTAATGAAATCTTCAAATGTAACTTGTTGAATAATTGACAGAGATTAATTGATAAGTTCTTGTTAATCTTGAAGATCATACAATCTTAATAAACAAAAATTACTAAAATCAGAAATAGATGGTGATAACATTTGTCGAAAACATTAAGTCTATTGATAGGATGTGGGTATCAGCGTGTATATTCTCTTTGACCACACACACATCCACATCCCCAATCAATAGATAATTGTGATTTAAAACATTTGTAAAAGATCTTCTCCAATGAGTTATTTTACACAGTTCTATTAAACCAATACAAAAAACAATTATGTCTGTCACAAGTAACATTGTAATAATGACAATTGATCGTCTAGCTCGTTAAAAAAAAGAAATCGACAAGATTATCAGTTACAGGGTGAGTGTTGTTGAAGAGAAGATCTATACCGACACGGACACCCCTTCGAGAAAATCAAAATTGACATTTCATGTTTTTTACAATCATTCGACTGCATTCTGAATATGTTAGAGTAAGATGATAAAGCAAAAGTAGAAATCTGAGAACAACAAACGGAATCAACGAGGTTGAAAGCAGTAAAGAAAATGTTAATTCAAAACCAGATATAATGTTAACTAGAAAGATCGGAAAAATCAATGGCTCAACGTAATCGATCAAATGATTGAACATTGAATGTATCTTTCATTCTCTCCTTATTTTAAATCACTGTGTTGCGGCGCTATGCATCTGACAAAAATCTAATCATTGGCTCTCGTATTCAACTGTGAGAAAGATTCACTTGAGTAAGAGTTTGTTCGAACAAGGAAGGTGTATGAAAGAACATTCAAGATCATGATGGCTACTTTGTAATTTTTTTTAACAATATTTAGGGTTTACCGAAACTCGTTTATTTGAATTTAAACAATGTTTATTATGAAACTAAACAAATCGATCATCAACATTGATCGTTAGACATCAAACCGATACGTATAGTATCGAATGAATTTCTTGTGCTCGTTATTTCACAATTAAATCGACTGAAAATTAATTTTTATTCAGTTCAAAAACCTAAAATTGAAAATCTTTGGAAAAATGTAGCCAATTTAAATCGATTAACATTCGATATGTCATTAAACAATTGTTTAAATTCGTTTTTATAGCTATTTCATTAGTATGCAATCTTGTTACATGTTACTCTTTTGAATGATTATTTTAATATCAAATATCAAAAAAAAAATCATTCGTTATGACTATTAACTGTCGATTGATCTTCGATTTTATCAGTTTCATCAAGAATTGCGCGCCCTCTGGCGTGTTTCTCTACTTGCATTCGTCCATTTTTCTCCAGGTATACTTCAACAAGACAGGTGCACAAACATCGTTGTTTACATAGCTTTCTTTATTTATTTGGTACAACAAACCAAGGACACTGTTTTTTTTTCTCTCTTGAAAATCCAGAACCAGAACAAAATGGCCGATGTTATTGTGCCTGATAACATCAGTCAGTACGATTGGAATTCCACATCTTTATGTACTGTGTGCTTCTATGGGTCTATCTGTCAGTTTACTACGGCTCACTATAGTATTTCGCTAGAGGCTCTCCTGTATATTTCTATCAAACCAGTACGAATGATTATAGGTGTACTTGTCTGTCTTTTTCTGGGCACAATATGTAACACTTTGTCGATCATCACATTTTGTCAGACACAAGTACGTGGAACGGGAAATAGTATATACCGATTATGGATCTCAATTATAGGACAAATGGGTACGATAGTACTTGCCATTCGTTTACTTCTTATTTTTGTGACAAAAAGTAGTCAAGTAGTGAGTTGCTTTGGTTTAGATTATCTCATTTCTGTTTTGATTCCACTTTATTATTCATTAACGGCATGTGTGATTGTTGAACGTACAGTAATTGCCTATATACATCTATTATTCAACAAAACGCGGAGTCGGAGTGTTGCCAAAACTATTATTCCAATATTAATCGTCTATCATTCTGTGATCGCTATTCATGAATTTTTTCAGCATCATTTGCTTTCTGATCGTCAGTTTTCAGATCGCCTATGGTGTTCAATACATCAGAACACCCGTGCTCTTCGTATTTATACTAAGATAACGAATATTGTTCATCTTCTATTCCCATACATCATCAATCTGATCGCACCCATACTAATGCTTACTAAATTAACAAGAGACAAGGCAACAGTGAACGAGAATACCACGACATGGTCAAATTTCATAAATGTTTTACGCGTATATAAGAACAATGTGATCACTCCCTACATTATTGTTCTTTTGATAACACCTCGCATCGTTCTTACATTTTCTCTGACATGTATCATACATTCATGGCAGAACACACTGTATCTCGTTGCCTACTTTCTATCATTAGTGCCACTCATGACATCTGTTTTCATCTTTGTCTTTCCATCACCTCGATTTCGACAAGAACTTCAACAGATCTTTCAACGTGCCACTGGATATGTGTCCGTTCGGCAATACACATGACCATCACATTAGTATGTATCATCTGTATGTTATTTCTTTTTTTATCCTTTTCGTTAGATGGTTCCAACGATGTGCATTTCTATATCACAAGACGAAATAAAATAGTTTCAAGTATGTGATAGCGTTGTTCGGCCTAATCTAAAATTGTCTTATTGCTTATTTTCACTCACAAGTTTTGATTACAAAGATTAACTTAGTTCGAATAACAATCTTCAACTTGAAAGCTTCATTTCAAGTCATAGATTTTCAATCTATGTCAGAGTCACATTCACAAATACTGATTCATTTATTCATTTAATTATTTCATTATATCGTAGGAAACGAATTGCAAACGATATTTTTGATAGAGAACAATTAATGTCTTTGTTCAGACTGGATCACCGATTAAAAAGAAACGTTCTATCCTGTTGAATCTAATCAAATTCAGGTGTTTATGTTGAACAAGCACAAACAATTTGAAAGAATGAGTCACAGATTCGCGATTGAACACCAGAAAAAAAATGAAAGATTCAATTTTTGATCGATCTGTGTTAATCATAGCTTCAAGCAGATGGAACTTGTCTACACTTCGACTATCTGTGATAGACCAACATTTTCTGAAGCATACATGTCTATGATTTTGTTTTGATTTCGATTAATATCAGAGGAAGAATTCTGTTGTTAACAAGTCACAGTTGAGTGTGTGTGGGATATGTATTTTGGTCTATCCTTCATTTAGACCAGCACTCACACCCAAAGGGTGTGGGTGTGATTGTGGGTGCGTGTAGCGTGTGGGTGGGAGGGTGTGGTATGTTAATGTGTTGGTTTTCTTTTCAACCAAACCCACCCACACCTACACTCATCAACAGCGACACCCGCACCACACACCCACATCCATACCCATACACCCACCCATACCGACACCCCACACCCATTAAAGGGCCGGTATAATAAATCAATAGATTTATATTGATGATCTAAATTAACATATGTAACATTTAATCCTAAAAAAGCTTGTTGGTTGTGTTTGTTCAGTCAAAAATCAGATACAATTGTAACTGCTTTAGCATGTAATGGTTCAACTAATTCTTCTTTTAAATTGATACGACATTTAGCAGCTAGATCATCAACAGTACGAGTAACTGTATGCCAACTTGGTAATAATTCTTTAGCATCTACAAGTCCATGTTCAGCGCCTAGAAAATGATAAGATACACGTAATATGTCAGATTGTTGTAAGAGTGATTTTCTTACCCATCTTAATAAACATATTCGCTAAATGTTCAAAACCATAATCTTCTACTATTGTAAACGGCCTAAAATCTGTGCAAATCCATTGTGCATTAACTTCTTTTAATTCATTTTTTTCTTTAAATGTTAATTTAGCTTTTCGTCGAAAACCAACTTGATTTAATTTATATTGAACCAATTTTGAATCATTTCTTTCATCTGAAGCAGGATTTGAAGAAGATAATGGGAAGCATCGATCTGAATGTTCGATAAAGTGCTTTGTTCCACTTGCAGATCCATAACGAAATACGTGATAACACTTGAAACAGCTAATAAATCCATTAATTCGTTCTAATTCATTTTTTTTATTTTTTACAGTTACATATCCAAAAGGGCGCCACCAAGACGCTAATGGTTTCGTAAAGCTTTTATTATCAAGGCAAACACTCTGATCTTTTTTAAATAAGAAATGCTTTAGTTGTTCAGGAGTATAACAATTTGAAGAAGATGAAGTCAAGTCATTAACAAGACAATTTGTCGATGAATCTCATGTATCATTAAGATGAGTAGTAGATAGCAAGTAAATATCATCATCAGAACCAAATGATACGAAAGTCATAAGTTAAATTATTATTTTAATATGATAAAACCAAGAGAATAAGATATACAAATATATTTTTTCGATACTTATTACATTTATTTTTTTTTTTATTTCCATCATTTTCATTCGACTGTACATCTATAGAGGACAACTCTAGGTACTAGCTGGCACCGCCCTTTGTAATCTATTTTCGGTTTTGATTCACAAAGAGCCAAAAAATTTTCTTTTTGAACATGAAAACTCAGATACTTGATTTTCAAATTTGCAGGGTATGAAGATCTCACCCTGTCTTGTTTCAGAGCAGGGTGAAAAACTTTTTTTTACCCTGCCCTGTGAGCATCTCTGGTACGAACGAAGGAGAGGCAGAAGGAGAAAAAAAGAAGACAGAAGAAATTAAAGAACAAGGAGAAAAAAACTAAGAAAATTAAAATAGTAGACAAAAAGATAAAAAGAGGCACACGGATGTGGGGTGTGAGATGTGAATGCAGAAGTTGCTAGTCATTACACTGGTACCTACACCCACACACTCACACCCACCTACCCTCACCCTCAAGATATTACAATTTCAATTGGCTTTTCCCCACCTGATACACATACATACAAATACAATTTTCTTTTTCAAACATTTTTTATAACATAAAAGAGAATAAATATATCAGATGAACAGCTTTTTATGTATTTTTTTGTTCTTAAGAAGAAAACTGAAAGCTAGCAAACAGTATTACATTCCGAAGGAATATCAAATATGCTTGGATCATCAATATTTGGTGTAAAATCTGTTGTTGTCACTGCAGTTAATATAGCTAAAATGGTAAAATACAAATTAATAAGTCTCTTAAATCAATAAATAGTTTTTTTACCAGGATTTTGAAGGAAAATATGTCCAGTCAATGGAACACAAAGACCATCACGACTAACCGTTGCATAATTAATCGCTTGATCGATTTTAACAAGCCATGTGTCACCAATAATTTGTTTATTATCATATCCATATGTGAATGAATGTAAGTAAGTTGCTGTATCTAAAGTAGAATTGAAGAGAATAGTCTTATTGTTATCAAGTTAAAAGAACTAAATGAGCAATGTTCGAAGCATATCTACCTGGAATACAATGAAGTGGCTTAATTGTCATGGTTCCTTTGTAGCATCTTTTCGAATCTTGATCAATTGTATAAATTTGTCCATCATTCATATTTTCAATAATCCATAGATTTGATTTCTGTTGATCTGGTATTGAAAATGCTACACCTTTCATTCCGACCATACCACGATCCGCATCATATGAATAATTATAATATCCCTATTCGGTTCATAGTTAATACTTCAGATGAAAGTATTTATTATAGCAATGACTTACATATATAGCAATTGTTGTACCATCCGGCAATTTCACGCCGTTTGATGTACTCATTTGTGAACTAAACTGCTTTGGTACACAACATCGTTTTGGCTCATTTGCTACGAGTGTTGTTGGTTTACCATTTAAACCCACTATAAGAATAGCCATAGCGGCAATAACTGTGTAGTAGGACATATTTTCCTTTTCTGTTTAAATGGTTCTGTATATAATAATAAATGAAAAAAGCGTTCTTATTTACAGACGATTAAAAGATTAAAAAAAGGTAAATATTATCATAGTTTATGTTCTCTTTTCCTGCTAGTATCGTTGATATCTCATCACACCATATTTATTAAAAAAAACAACAATTGAATCATATATATATCTTTTACATAACGCATTTGACGTCATTCAAAAGATTGTTCATAAAAAGTACAGCAGTTCACTATCGTAGAAACAAAGAATGAGAGCAGATATGTTAGCAACATCAACCATCTTCGGAAAGAAAAAGATTCGATATACCAGATTTAATTGAGTAGTGTTTGAGCTCCACTTTCGTTTACATTATGTGGGTGTGGGTGTGCGTGTCAGTTAAGCTTTTCATGTTACACGCACCCACACCCATACCCAAAAAATATCAATGTCACATAAGTCGACCAAAAACAGCAACAGATGACGAACGTTTAGATCTAGATGAAAAATACCTGGTTCGATTAAGTGATGAACAACTTGAAAAGGAATGAAATTATTTAAAAGATATTTTATTAGACAAACTTTATGATACTTATAAACTTCTAAGACAAATAGCATTAACATTAAAAACTCAACAGAATGATTTTTCATCAAATTATCTTTTTGAATTTGTTCGAATGTCTGATAACGATAATGATATTCTTCGACGATTAGAAAAATGTGAAATAAAAGATTTTCAACTATGTTATATTGATCATGTTATTGAAATTTATGAAGAATCAGGTAGTGGATTTCATCATTTATTTACAGACATGCCATCTTTACTTCGAGTTCATATTGATTCTCAATTAAACGATGAACTTGTTCGAAACCTCAATGAAAATATTATTAACATTGACTATAACAATAATGTTGATAAAATTCAAACAACAAATACAAACAATTACAACATTTCTTAATGAAATAAAAGACATTGAAGATGAATTTCAACAACAATTTACACAATCACTAACAGAAACATGTGGATTTTTAGCAATTGAAAATCCAATACTTTTATGAATACCTGATAAAATAAAATGTGAAAATTACGTCATTGTTTATATTCATTTAATACGTACAAGATCAAAACTTCGAGAACAAACAATGAAATTATGGAATGAAAGTTTTAACGCAGATGAATCACAAGAGAAACAAGGAAGTCTTTTTCAACAGTATCTAAATCCACACTATGATAAACAAATATCAAACGAAAATCAAAATACGAATCAATCAAACGATTGGCAACTTCCTGTAATCGACACAAATGACTCAACTTCTAATTTAACACATGAAGACAAGTAATTAAAAGAAAAAAAGCTTGTTAGCGTAGCCTTTTTGCGGTTAAAATGTAGAACTCACATCGAAGATGGTATCAGTTCAAGTTTGTTAAGATTTAAACCGAATCGACGAATAAATTTTTTTTAAACTGTGCTAAGGGTGACTAAAACAAAATAATTGTTAAATCGATGTGGTTCTCCTATTCCTAAGAATTTTCATTTAATATACATCAAAATATACTAGGGTGACGATGTAAATGCTTATATGAATATCAATGCGAGTATGCTGATATTCACTCAATCGAAATTCACATTCGCACCAGAGACTCAGTCATATTCTAGCCACGGAGCAGACTCATATAAAAATCCTATATTTTCAAGTTCAATAAAATCATTGTATTTATTATGGGAGAACTATACATTTTGTGCTGATGTTGATTTTATTAGTTATCATAACACAGAAGTACTTAAATAGTCTTGTCCACACTAAAGATAAGATGCGTTTATTGTTGTCCAATTTTTTATAGACAAACAATTATAAGACATTTTACCGAAGTTTTCAATGCTCCTAAGGAGAACTTTTCTCATTCAATAAAGTGCTCAGATTTTAGAAAACTTATCTTAAAGTATTGACGAAACTCGGAAAAACAACTCCATATCTCTTTCCCTCTTTCGTAAACCTTTAAGTTTTGTATAAACACTTTTAAGCTCATCTGACTTTGCAACCGTTTTAAAGCATAAACTTAAACTAAAGATAAAAATTAGAAAAACGCAAATACATCCATTTGTAACGATTATGAACGATTGAAAGTTGTTGAAAACTTAGTGGTTGATATTTTAATTTCCTTTAATTATAGATGAAAATCAAATTATAAATCTGTTTTATTCAACAACCAAGTGGCAACAAATAAATCTTTGGTTAAAAACGCTCGCACATATAAATGAACCTTCAGTTAATGATTATACATTTTTCATGCGAGAAAAGAAAATAATCATTGATGAAAATCAAATTCTCTTATCGATAACAGATTAAACAGAATCAATAATAATCGATATTATTGATCGAAATACTTGGAGTAAAGTTATTTTAACCTTTGAGACCAATAATCAAACTATATCCGTATTAAAATCAATGAAGATGTATTCTTTATTAAATAACGAAAATATTCTTAAACAATTAAATTTAACTGATGTATCTTCTGATGATTGTGTTCTTGTCTTGAAAGAAGCAAATGAAATTATTTTAACAAAATATGATCATCAAAAACCTATCGGTAATTATTCAATTGTTAACAATGAACTAATTCATTTTCAAATATCAATCTCAGTTCAAATAACAAAATATGACAATAAAGAACCAATTAGAATACCTTTATCAAATAGAAATATAACAGTTGAACAATTGTTAAATTCAACAGAAAAATCAATCGATGTTTACAAATATTTGGCTACAAATGACACGAAAAGAATTTTTAATTCTAATGAAATACTTGCAAATTTAAATAAAACAAAATTTATTCTTGTTAAAGAAAATGAAACTTGTCTTCCATCGGTTAAGAAATCTAATAATTTACAATAAGTCAATAATCAAGAAGAAGAAAATGAGAAACTTCAACGATTTATCATTTTTGCTACTATAGCTGACATTATTAAGGAAAATCAAGCAGATCTTTTACATATCTTATGTATTCAAATGATTTTGTTCCATCAAAAGATATTCAATTAATATCTTCTCAATCAGAATCACCAATTCAATTTACTATACTCGATCAAAATCTACCAGTTACTGTGACTATACAAAATCAGGAAGTAAATAAATTGATTCAATTTAATTGTGAAGATTCGATTACTCTTCAACGTCTTTGTGAGATTGCATGTGAATTATGTTGTTTGAATAATAAACATTATTGTTTAACTATCGATGGCACTATTTCTTTAAAAGATATTACTGATGAAAATACGATTGAAATTAGTTTTCAATTGGTATCGACAGCGTCTCTCTATTGTTCGATCATGTATTGCAATCAAGTTATTAAATTGCCATGCTGTCAAGATACACTAATAATGACCATAATTAAAGAAGTACTACAGATATTAAATAAGTCAGAAGATATTATGAATATGTATGAATTGATAGCATTGGATGACGTATTGTTTCCTGGTGGTTCAACGACTATATCCTTTAAATTAAAGAACAAAAATGAATAAAATAAACAACTTACATTGCAAACAATATTCAAACTTTGATTTGACTCATATTTAATCCAGAAAACTTTTAAACAGATTTGTGCTCCTTATTTCTAATAAACATGAACAAATTTTTCTCTTTTTAACCGAGCTTAAAACTTTTAAGGTCAAATAATTGTTAAAAAAATGGTTGTCCGTTAACGTTTTTTTTTCACAGTTCAAAATCTAAGGATGATCTTAATGTGTTTTGTATAGCACATATATGACCAAATTAGAGCAATCGATTGTGGATGTACGTGTGGGTGTAAAAAGTCATACTCAGACACTTTTGGTGCATTAATTAATGACAGATCTCTTTTGACGATCAGCTTATTGGTCAGTATACTCTATGCTATTAAAAAATGAAGAACGTAGAAATTCTACAAATTCAATTTCGGCCATATAACTATCGGCATTCTACCACGTTGACAATGTCACTCTCTAGGATATTTTCTTTCAATGATTCCTATTTCAGTCACTGAATCTATTCATGATACTCTCAGATGATATGCGAAGCATCAAAAAATTTTTGATACCATGGTTATTATATTTGTTGTATATAGCAATAACGGTGATGTACAGAATTAATGCTCAAGCTATCCTCCGATGAGTATTTCGACATGTTGATCTGAGCCTGCAATGGACATTGGCACTCTAGATCGAGTAGCCGGAAGGTCACTTTTTGATGGGTCGATAATAGTCGAAATATTTAACCTCATTGTACAATCTTCGAATAACTGGTATATACCAACTACTCTATCTGATATTTCGATACCCATCAGAGGGCCCCTCTCGAAAGGTTTTGAGAACACAGAATCTTTTGGTGTGTGGGTGTGAGTGTGCGTTGAAAGAGAACATACTCACATTCACACTCACACCCTGTTGCGGTCTGTGATAGTCTAGAAGGTTTTCGAGATACTAGTTTTTGATTCGGACAAGTACTTTGATAGACAGAATAAGGCTTCTTGGTCATGATTAAAGTGACTCCATCGTGTTTCAAATTTTTATTTGATAAAGAATGTACTAAAAGTATTCTGTTCTTGCCGTTCTTCTTTTTATGTGTTTCTTATCATTTCTTTTCTTTCTTTTAGTTATCACATAAGACACGATATGTCTCTACCATCAGATGATTTTGCTCGAAAGATATTCTTTGAGATTCACAATGGTTTACCGAGACAAGGTTCTGAAAGTACTCAATCAACTCTTCGAGCTCTACGCTCTGTCAGTTCGGGTCACAAACATCTAAACATACTGGATACTGAATGTGTTAGATTCTACTGGCACGAGCTAAACAAGAATGTCTTTAAGAGCGTATTACGGCATTAGTTAGCGAGGTATTTTGTCTGGCTAAATTCGTTGCTTCAAATACATTCGATGTGATTTGGTCGCAAGGTTCAGTTAACATTATTGGTTTCGAACGTGGTCTTACTAAATGGAAGAAATTCTTGAACAAAAATGATTATCTTGTCTGCTCTGAACTATCCTGATTAACTGAGAATCAACCATTCGAAGCTCATGACTTTTGGTCAAAACATTATTCAAATATGTGTTCTTGAAAAGAAAATTGATAATTTCGTTTTAGCTGAAGACGACTGGTGGAATGAGTACTATGGGCCGATGCAACAACGAATTCAAGAATTAGAAATGAAAAACAATGGACAACAAGAAGCAGAAAGTGTGCTAGATGAATAATTAAGTGAAATTAATTTGTATAAAAAGTATTCGGAGAGTTATGAGTAAGCATATCTCGGAGATGAAACATCAAATCGATTTTTTATTTTCATTAAAGCATAATCTATGTGCTCTTTTCTCTTGTTATAAAAACACTTTTTGGATGCTGTTGAAATCCGACACACTGACGTGGAAGAAAAATCTCACCTTTTCAAAATGAATGATGGATGCGAAATATTTGTACTGGATTTAATGATGAATGTGCATGGTGAAAGCAATTTGTAGTTATTAAGAATTTAAGACTTTCTTAATTCATTCGATGCGAAACTGAATCAAGTGTAATTTGGAACCCTGACCTTTTCTTATTTTTCTAACAAAGATTTAAAATCATGACAATGATAACAAAAAAGTTAACACACGAAAGATAACACTGAGTGTGGCTGTCTTATCAAACTATTGAATGACTCATATCAAACATGCTCATGTATGAAAGTAGCAAATGGGTATTTGTTCTGTCTACATCCACGCTTCACTCAGCAATGAGTGCATTGATGACAAAATCTCGCTCAACAACCAACGCCAACTACATACATCATGTTGAGCACTACGAGCGACACTGGTAAAATCAGGAAGAATTGCTTGAAATGCTGTTCATATTCAGTTCGATATACTTTACATAGTTATTTTTTCTGAAACAGTTCCCATGCAAAATGGTTTTATCGCCTTATTGGTTTGTTCCATGTTTTTTTATTATTTTTTTATGACCTCTAAATACTCACGTCATGTTGAGTGGTTTTTTTCTCTTTCATAATTTCGTAAGAATACGATTGCGCAAGAGTCTACATATATATAGTGAATGTAACCTGAGATATGTTCTCACATACAATTTACTAGTGTGAGTCAATCTTTTATTTCTCTTCGACAACGAACAGTTGCCAATTATTCCGAAAACAATGTTGTTTTGTCTATTCGTTGTCAAGAAACTCAATGCTTTTTTAATGTCCATTTGAATTCTAGATATTTTAAATGTATAATTATTTTACTTTAATTCATTTATGAGCAGCAGTCGAACAAAATCAAAAACAAACGAAAACAATACCGAGTCCGTGTACAAGTAAGATGGAGAAAAAGATTTCTTTTCTTTCAAAGAAAATAAATAACAAACTATGATGCACTGTTGATCGATTCTCTTCTCCATTGATGTACAATGTGCTTTTGAAGTCTTGCATACGTTTTTATTGGTTACCATCTGTTATCGGTTTGAATTTTTTTGTACCCACAAAAATCTGTACTTCTGAAGTACACATTTTGCACATCTTAGGAGCTATTTTTTCATATAAATTCATAAAAAATTCTTGTTTCCTAAAGACATTAAAATATATTCTTATATGTTTTTTAAGTTGTTTGGCTGACTGGGTAGTCTTTGATGTTCTCTATATGAGAGACTTCGCCCTACTAACTCAATTCCTGTTTCTCGAGAGAAGCAGGCATTCAACTGATTTTTTTTCTTAATGAATATGTGTTAAAATAAGTCGATAGGCTACTAATGGACGATCGTTCTATTCTAGGAGTGATGTCAGCCAAAGTTCAAACGTGGGAGTGCCCTCAATGGAACCAAGTACGTATATTTAAAAAACAATACATTGAAATAATATACTAATGAATTGTTTCTCATGATAGACGGGATCATTGAGAGCAATTGGACCGAACTGGTTCAGGAATTCGATCAGATGAACTTGCGCGAATCACTTTTACGTGGTATTTATGGTTTTGGTTTCGAAAGACCATCTGCTATTCAGCAGCGCGCAATTAAGCCGTGTATTTTAGGTAAGTAAAAGTATCGATTGATCATTGAATTAATTACCATTAATATTTTGCTCAGGGCACGATGTAATCGCCCAGGCACAATCGGGTACGGGAAAGACGGCTACATTCACTATTTCGATTTTACAACGAATCGCCATGGAATTTAAAGATTGTCAAGCACTCATTTTGGCTCCTACACGAGAATTGGCTCAACAGGTATGACGCAGAAATATTTTCATTAACGAAAGTCGATTTCTCTCCGGATGTAGATCCAAAAAGTGGTGTTAGCACTTGGCGATTACATGAACATTACATGCCATGCTTGTATCGGTGGTAACAGGGTTAATGACGACATCAGACGACTTGAATCAGGCGTACAAGTTGTTGTGGGAACACCTGGTCGTGTCTATGATATGCTTCAAAGAAGGGTTCTTCGTAAGTCGTTAATATTTGATATTGATCTTAGTTGTTTGATGATAAATTTCTTCAGAAAGCAAGAATATCAAAATGCTTGTCTTGGATGAAGCTGATGAAATGCTTAAAGAAGGATTCAAAGAACAAATTTACAACATCTTCATGTTAATGCCGGAAAATATTCAGGTATGACAGAAATGGTTCTTTCATTTTTAAGATGTTTTACCTCTCATTAGACTATTCTTCTATCGGCTACTATGCCTAGCGACATTCTCGAAGTTACAACTAAATTCATGACTGATCCGATTAAAATTCTCGTCAAAAAAGAAGAATTGACACTTGACGGTATTCAGCAATTTTACATCGATGTTCAACGTGAAGTAAGTGTTCAATAGTCATTAGCCAATGTTATTATTCAATATACTGACCACATATTAATTTATCATGTTTAGGATTACAAATTTGATACGCTTTGTGATCTCTACGCAACAATGTCCATTACGAAAGCTGTCATCTTTTGTAATACTCGTCGAAAAGTCGAAATTTTAACAAAAAACATGACCGACCGTGATTTCACTGTATCGGCTATAGTAAGTTTCTGAACGTCGCATTTAAGCAAATACTTGTATGATCAATTTTACCCAGCATGCACATTTTCTATTGAGAATATATTGGATTTGATAAGTGTTCATTCACAGTCGATTTTTTGTTCGTTTAGAGCGGTAACATGGACCAGAAACAGCGTGATGTCATCATGAAGGAATTTCGTTCCGGTTCCAGTCGAGTATTGATCGCAACCGATTTATTGGCACGTGGTATCGACGTCCAACAAGTCAG